TAATACATGCCCATTGCTTCACATCTTTGAGTGTCACTCTATCAAGTTTACCTTTTTTAACCATATTTGCAACCTGAATGTTATTTTGAAATCACCATATCTAACACATTTTAACTTCATTTGCCTACATCTTCCTTTTTTTAGAATTAAGTGAAACATGTTATATATTTTCAGGTCTAGTCTGGTTTTTGGAACAAAGTATTAGAGTTGGATCAATTTGGAAGCTCTCCAGTAGTCCAATGGTGATAGCAAGGTCTCATAAGGACATGTGCAGTATGCTGCTATAAGTGACCAAGATGAGTTCATATCAGTACACTGATATACAGCATCTCAAAGACATGGCTTAGATCTTCATGAGAGAGATTCACATCTTTTTTCAGTAAGGTGAAACTGTATTTTCATATTGCATTGTTGACTTTTGTAGTTATCGGCATTAAAATGGAATGCATATTTGCTATAAAACATGGTAGTGGTCCCATCAAAACTTTAAATTTGAGTGGGATATTAGTTATACAAACAACTGTCCAAGTACCTGAAACAATAAATGTGGAACATAATACCTGTCATTGTTTCTTTAGTATGTACACCTATATGCATCTGGATAGGCATATTGCAAATTTGCTGTCAAAATCACTGTGAGCTATCATGCTTCAGTACCCCTGGGATTAATATTATCAGTTGTACAGACCTTAACTACCATTTGTTTTAAAGACCATTCATTAATCAACATTGCTGCCTTAAATTTGTCAAACTGAATGTCATAACTTGTATGAAAATTTATTTTTTGTGAAATAAAAAGTTTTTAAAATTTATATATTTTTTAAAATTTTCATTAAAATTTAATATATCAATATTTTTTAATTTCAAGACAATTTTCAGACAGGCCTTATCAAGTATTACAATTCGGTTTTTACTGCATTGAAAAATTCCTATAATTAAGGAAGATATAGCAAATTTAGTTTTGGTTTCTTAAGAACAATTGGACCTCAAATTGCACCCTATAGAACACCAGCACTACACACTTTCTGACAGCTGTCAAATGTCTTGCTTGCAAGGAAATTTCAAAAGACTTTATGTTTGAAGTTGAAACAGTAGTGGCATGCAAAATAAAATGCAAATATAAAAGTTTGACAAAAACATTGACCCTTTCAGGAATCGGTACACAATTAATAAAATCCGGTTCAGTACCCACGAATGTAGTCCCAGTCTATTTTTAGATCACTTTTTCCGGTCTAAATTTGGTGGTGATACTAGAGTTAGATTTTGGCATTCTTGGTAAGGATTTAAAGGCAATTGATTATTCTTTAAAATGTGAGCTTATGGTGTGGTTGTCTCTGTGTATTTCGGCGACAGTGCACATTGAGTAATAAGGTCATGGTGATGATCCGGAAGTGAAATCTGTGTTCCGTTGCCTGGTGTTTTGTTTACAATTCAGCCTCTCAAAAAAATGCAGGTCAACCCTTGACGAGAATTAAACCGTAAAGTCATCTTTGAAGGTATTTTAGATTAACATATGATTTGTATTGATTGTCACACAGTGGAAAGTTCAGTACTGAGGAACAAATGTAGAGAACATATAGTAAAATTAATTGTGTACTATGGCCAGATACTTACGCTCCTTTTCTGACACTCGTATTCTCGTTATGAAGAGAATGAAATCATATGGACAATGTTCTTTTGCATACCAGGACCCAGCAACGTGGAACGAATTTCCCACTGAACTTAGACACAAAGACACAGTGATCTCATTCACGAGCGTTATTAGAACTGGCATATTTCAACCGCAAGAACAGACTTAAAGACCTAATAATGTTTCCTTACCTTAACTACTTACAGCAAGTTTTCAGTTTTCTAATTTGATGGTGTTTGGTTTTACTTTCGTAATCATATCATCATATATGTTTTTTAAGTGTTGTCAAATGTTGCAAAGCGTTTAGCGCTTCTAAAGATTAGGCGCTATACAAAGTACTCACTATCGTTGTTGTTATTATTATTATTATTATTATTATTATTATTATTATTATTATTATTATTATTATTATTATTATTATTATTATTATTATTATTATTATTATTGTTCATACGTACAATAGCATCGTTACAGCGCTCGATAACAATGATTTTTACTATGCATCTAAAACATTTTTGCATTAAAGTTTAATGCATAGATAAACGTGCAACTTCATTGATAGCTCTCTTATTATTTGGCTTTTTGGCTACTATCAAATAGACCAAACTTTATTTTAAATGTTGCGTCTGGTGTACTACAGGGTTCTATTGTAGGTCCTTTATTATATGATGTGTATATTAACGGTAAAGGCGATTACCTCTTGAGTGCTAATATGCTCTTTGCTGACGATGGCGTACTGCCGCATTCATCTAACGATACGTGTGTTATTGAATATTTGCTGTGCACAGATTTACAAACGGCTTAAGATTGTTCAAGGCAGTGGTTTGTTGATTTTTGTCGAAAGACATTAGAAAGGATATATTTTACACTCATTCACCGTTTACTGTAATACACTTATGTTGTATGGGATGGTTGTTAGGCAGATTGTAAAACATACAATTAGAAGCAGGGAGAATTGTAACTGGGCATACTAGAAGTGTGTGTGTGTGTCATAAGATTTATGAAGAATCTGGTTTGTCTACTTTGGCAGACAGACGAAGGTTTCACAAACTGTTACTGTCATAACATTGTATATGGAGTCTCTCCCTGTTATCTTACTGACCTTATACTAATACTGGTTGGTGAAACGAAACGGTATAACCTTAGAAATAGGAATAATTTTAATGGCATTAATGCCATACTCGCAATAAGCAGAAACTCTCTTTTACACTCTTCTTCGCATGTTTAGAACACACTTCCAGATTTAGTAAAGAGTGAAAGCAATTATTCTATCTTCAAAAGTAAATTAGATACTAAGATAACACAGGTGAAAGGAAATTATCTACTCTGCATACAAGACGAATACATAATTGTAGCAATTTATATTCATATTAAATTCATTTAAGAGATAATCCACGATTTGTACCAGCAACTATCGATCAATTTTTAACAAAATTTAACCAATTTGTTTTTATGTGTGTCTATGCGTGTGTGTTTATGTTTGTTTACGTGTACAATTATTGGTTATAGCTATTGATTGATATAAATACAATATTTTTTTCAACTTATTACTATTATATTTATGAAATAAACAGGTTACTAATTGTTTAACTCTTGCTGGGCATTTCTTTTGGGAGATGGAGTTTGAACAGTTCAAACTTTAGAGAACGTTGGCATTTTGCGGTGTTTGAGGTTCTTAGAAATGGTTTTCAGACAATAATTAAAACAGATTTTGTTGACTTTGTTTGATGATTACCAAGAAATACATTATCTTTCTGGCGCAAATCAAGTTTTCACTTGATGAACAGTAGCAAAGAATACACCTTTATTAACTATGAGTGAGGGTGCATGAAAAACAAAATATGGTATCGTTCTTCTAATTGAGAAACGGTGCTCAGTTAGAAAGATTTCCTTTGAATGCTACATGGCATCAGTACACAATTAATAAAATCAGGTTCAGTACCACGAATGTAGTCCCAGTCTATTTTAGATCACCTTTTCCTGTCTCCATTTGGTGGTGATACAAGAGTTAGATTTTGGCATTCTTGGTAAAGATTTAAAGTCAATTGTTTGTTCTTTAGAATGTGAGCTTTTTGTGTGGTTGGCTGTGTGTATTTCGGCGACAGTGCACATTGAGTAATAAGGTCATGGTGATGATCCGGAAGTGAAATCTGTGTTCCGTTTTGTTTATAATTCAGCTTCTCAAAACAATGCAGGGCAACCCTTGACAAGAACTTCACCGTAAAGTCATCTTTGAAGGTATTTTTAGATTAACATATGATTTGTATTGATTGTCACACAGTGGAATGTTCAGTACTGAGAAACAAATGTAGAGACTATATAGTAAAATTAATTGTGTTCTATGGTCACATCATGCGATACTATGAAAGGCTGGATGACACCTCAAGACTGATTGTGATAGTTACCTGTTTTCTTGCCACTTTTACAAGTGCGCCGTATAAAATCAACATTGATGTCATTGGAATTATGCAGGTCACTGTCATAAAGAAGAAAGCTTCCCGCACTAAGTAAATCTTCTCAAATTGGCAATATCCTTTGAAATCTGGAATGAATATATATATATATATATATATATATATATATATATATATATATATATATATATATATATATAGTAAAACTTTTTTTGCTGTATACATCAATCACAAGAATAACATAAAAGTCATTCAACATATGAACTGGTATTCAACTGCAAGACAGTGTTACAAAACATTTAACCAAAAGAGACTAAAATTATAGCGCCGCACAACGTGTTATGACTTCCAGTGGATCTATTAAGGAAACGATGCTGAAAATAATTTAGTTGGTTCTAGATCAATTAGGTCAAGTCAGGAAATTAAGACAGATCAACATAATGAGCGCTTACCTGGCTTGTCCACAATGTACACCGAAACCGCCGTAATGTATGATACCAACCATATAGTACATATTAAAGACAGCATGGATGTTTTGTTTACCAAAACGTGGTAGCGGAAAGGCTTCATGATTGCAATGAAGCGGGTTGCTGTAATCGCAACAAGATGGTACGCCGAACACATCTCTGCCCCAATGACCATCACCAAAACAGGTGCACAGGAGCGCCACGTACCTACAACACATTACAAGTAGAAGCAAAATAATTTTTCTTCACAAAATGTGATTATGAATAAGTTTATATAATAAATTGTATACTGTTTTCCATGCACTATACAATGACATGATGTAACGGATAAAACATCTCATGCAAAAAGTGAATGATTCTTCCAATCTCAATAGGATGTCTTAGAATATATATATAGGAAATGAGAATGACTCCCAGTATAAATATGATTGCCCAAATCTCTCTATATACACCTAATATTACGACCATTATCTCAGAATATACCTGACCGTTCCGGTGGCCTCATCTGTTAGAGCTTCCGCCTCGGATGCGGAAGGTCGCAAGTTCGAACCCCGGCCGATTCATACTAAAAGATTTATATAAATAGTATTAACAGCGGCCTCTTTTGGCGCTCAGCATAAATAGCTTAGTGTTAGAACTGGTTGACCTGGAAGAAGGATAATGTGACTGGCGGTACATGATGCTATATGTCTGCGGTATGGTGCCCCAATGCTTGACATCATTATAAACTTACTGCAAACATGTGATATCGTAGCGATGTGACTAAAATATTGTCAAAGCTACGTTAAAAACGCAGATCACCCACACCGACACACATCTCACCCTCACAGATCGCACTATTCATTTTAATCGAACTTGCCGATTCACGTGAAATAGTCCAACTGATGGGTTGTTACTATATTTTTCTAAAAACGCCTAACTCCCGTTAGCCAATGTCAAATTGATCCAAAGGTGCCATTAAGTCTTATTATTAAGATTAATATGAAAAGGTGAATCGGCTACACGTGCCAGTTCATATAAAGACATATATTTGTAAATTCAACAGGATATCAGTTATGTTCATTTTGTATAACTTCAAGAGTTTTGCATCATCTTTATGGATACTTTTCAGAGTACTTTTGTAAATAAACCATTTTGTATATTGTTGAACTACAATAATACTTTCACAGTGACTCCAGTAACGTACAAAGAACACACTTCTTAAATAGAAAAAAATTCGATCAAGACCAGATTTTATAAGGTCACATGACTATATATTCTAGTACACTAAATCGTGCACATCTAATACTAGATCAGCACACTTTCCCTATATTCTCATTAATTTTATGTCGGGTATGCAAATTAGAAACTTTAAGGTTCAAAATATGTCTTTAAGGGTAAAATGTTATATTCGTCATGAAGAGATATGTTAAATAAAATATCATCCATAATAAAAGCCTCATTATGACAACGATGAGAATCAAAGATGAAGGTTTTTTTTATAATGGTACATTCCCGATTCCATGAGTTAGAAATATGAAAAAAAAAGAATAAAGTTGACTCGAGACTAAATACAGTTTCAAATGTATCGACTGGTTTTATGGAACTTTTAGTGAAATATTGGTTACATTTTCCGTATCCAACGATGCTCTGTCAAGTTTTGTTGAATGCAAGTTACACACGTGAAATATAAAAGAACAATATGTAGTTGGGTTCAGGGCATCGGGATATTAAAATGTTCAAATATATCGATGTATGATTTGAAAGCAGATTTTCACATTGCTTCAAGTGGAAACAACCAAAATTTGTTACTAATTAGTCATTTAATATGAACATGTGTCTAATTTGTACTACGTACATAAAATATGTCCTTAAAATTTCGCTTTTGCACATTCTTCATAGATGATTTACAGACCATTGTACATACTTTTGTCAATCTGTTCGCGTGAGGAAATTTACAGGCAGAAACCGTGCGAATTTCTATAGGGTATAATACAAAGCTGGTTATAGAACAGTTATCTATAATGAGTTTTCCTCAGTTTACACAAAAGAGCCTTTTCCCGAAAACACTCCAACCACATTTTTATCAGTTTATGTACTAGGTTTAACGTACATATCTATTTTGATGAATTAAAAAAATTCGTAATGCACGACCTACTCGTTCTGAAGATTTAACGCTCTCTCTCTCTCTCTCTCTCTCACACACACACACACACACACACACACACACACACAAACACGCAGATACACACACACTTAAAAACTTAAAAGCATGAAGGTCAGCACGAATGTAGAACTGCACGAGTGTAGAAATGCTTACTTTAGCATGTACCTACCAAGTACGTAAGAAAATCTGGAGTCATGACTCAAGTTGTACAGAGGAAACAAACATCCCATGACAGTGTCTGACAAGGCTAGACCAACGACCAATAGATTGCTCGGTTGCTGAAGGATTTCGTGCCTAGAAACTGTCACAACTATCAAAGTGTTTCCTATAATATTCACCAGCGTTATGCAACACATCAGAGAGTAATATAAAATATGAAACAGAAGTTCCTCTGAACTTTCTCTTGGCAGACTTTCCTTTTCATTAGAACCGTTGAGAGTTGAAGTGTTAAGTGCAGACAACGTGGACAGCAGGTCCAGGCTTTGAGATTCCAAAGTCATTTCCTTACATAGTCCGAATGCTAATCAGGATCACCATGTAATATGCTGTAAGTGAGAGAATGTTTATTGTGAACAACACAGAGATCCATTCCAACATTTTCATACACATACTCTAAAAGTGACAAAGTTTTGGGAATACCATGTACTAATCCGTAAGGCACATACTTACTAAAATTGGTTTTGTCGTACACACAACACTTGCGAATTATAGGTGCTCATTGTTCCATTTCTTTTGACATGGTTTTCATAAATGCAAATAAGTTGCTGCCCATATTGTTTTCAAGAGAGAGTCTGTTTACGGCAACCTCTTGTTGCATATGTTATCCATCATACCAAGAATTTCAGGGCTGTATTGTATTCATTTTATCAGTAGATGAAACACTACATAATCAAAATCTTGACTTTTTGGATTCATTTCAAACAAAGCGTACGAGAAATATTGAGCAACAGAGACTGGTTTTCTCTATTGTGTGCTGAAATAAATTAGAAATTTGAAAGTACTGACTAAAAGTACTGATTTGCGAAGGAAGGTATCACGTGTTTAATAATCAGAGTACAGTGATGTTTAAAACCAGCACTTTGCGATATTTAATCTTTCTAAAATTATTAGTTTTGATACAGTTGCCAATATAACAATCGATTTTGCTAACTTTGATCGATATATCATCCTTGATTTTAAATTTAATAATGCCGTACGTGTGATTCGTGCGCATGATTGTTTGATTTTAACAGCCGTGTTCATGACACAAATCTCTAAACAAATCTAATATTAAAACTTTGAAACATATGCAAACAAAAGCTACATTTCAAACGCTTGGTATCTTAGAAAAATACAAATGGATGAAAAATGTCAAGTCTCCAGGATAATAGTAGATTTTAATGGATATTAAGACTAGAAACGTGAAAAAATAATGTGAGTTTCAAACATATTTCTAGATCTTGTTCAGCATATTATCAAAAAATTAGTAACTTAAGACCGTCTTCGTGTTTTGGTATATGAGATGTCAGTCTATCATAAAACATAACTTTAGTTTTAAAACTGTATATTGTAACATTGATTCTGATTCTGAGAGACGAAATTAATTTTCAATGAATAGATTTTCCATTGATGGCGCCTTAGTGTCCTTCATACTCATACAAATGCTAGAATTTGCGGTAAAAAGCTAAATAATGTAGCATAATTTTGCATAACGATGTAAGACTTTTCCCCATCTTTTTTCTGATTAGATTTGTAGCTGATACAGTTAATCAGAATTTTAATCTAGTGATGTATTAGAAGATTCGTGACTGTATTAAAGTCGGTACCAGTTATAAATATAGATATAAGTAAGAATTTTTTCTGGATAACTATTTTGTATCTTAACTATACTCAATATCCGTATCTTAAGTTTGGAAGAAACAGAAAAAGCAGACATTAATGAAAGAAAATCTTACATTATATTTATTGGAACTGTTTTCATTAGTACAGTAGTTCAGTTAATTCAAAACAAATCTAGAATCATTCATCTTCTCTCTCTCTCTCTCTCTCTCTCTCTCTCTCTCTCTCTCTCTCACACACACACACACACAAACACACGTACGCACACACACACACACACGCACGCATACACACACCCTCACACATATACACACTTTACTATATTTGGAGGAGCCGATTCAAGTCACTTGATCCTAAAATTTCCCATTTAAGCCAAAATGTTAGCACATGAAGGAAGTATTTTTTTTCTGTTTTGCTAGGAGATAAAATACATTTTTAACCAAGTCACAGAACCGAACCCCTGGGCAGTCGACACCCTTTTATTAAAACCGGAATTTCTTCGAGAATGAGATTCTCCCATCCCTTTGATTCCAAACGTATTGTACATCATGGAATCCGAGAAACAGACCAAGACTCCTCAATATGAAAATACAGTCAATGAATAGAAAAAAATATTTTTAACATGACTTTAACATGCAAATTAACTAAGCCTTATTTATACTTTAGAGTTTGGACATTGTACTAATTTGAAATAAACAAACAATAAATAATGCAAATCTCTATATAACTGGCAAACCAAGTATAAAATTTGGAAATGTCACAGACACACACAGAAACACAGACAGAAGGACACATACACACATACACACAGTGCGGTAAACTCACGGTGTCACCTTTCCAGATTTCGACCAGATTTATTCTTATTTATTCAGCATGTAATTAATTACTAGTAATACTTTTTGAGTGTAATCCTTTCTTCGCTGTTCATCTGTTATAAAAATTACTTCCTGTTCTATTTTACTTTAAACAGGTTAGAGATTCAAATTAAGTTTCACAAAATTTACTGTTTTGATTAAAAAAAACCGAGTATGTAAAGGTATGCACATCTACGTAATACCACGTCATACCAAGCGTCAAGCCAAAGATGGTACCTCGTGCGCATGAAGCACTCGGCCTACGGAAACGCCCCCAAGTCTATTGATCTATTCTACCTCATTAATTATCGCGTTCTTAAATAACTCCAAATTTTGAACCCACCAGCTCTGAATCTCATTAAAATGAGCCCCAGATGCTATGCAGGCTGCATTGTGGCACCCTGACCCTGTTCTGCCTTTTAGTTATGTATTTATTTAACTATGATCGGTTATCTGCTTATGAAATACGACTGGACCGAGCAACGTCTGCTCTGTAAAATTTGTAGTTTTTCATTTGGTGTCACCCCTCTGAGATGGTGTCACCCGGTGCGGTCCGCATCCCCCTAGCTACTCCACTGTATATATATATATATATATATATATATATATATATATATATATATATATATATATATATATATATATATATATATATATATATATATATATATATATATATATATATAAAGAATACAAATCATATTGCGAATAACAACCCTTTCAAGCGTACTGGATCCACCAAGGG